TCGGTCCAACTTGTCCATGCTGACCAGATAGTCCCAAAACTAGGACGGAAGCAATGGCCTAGTGGTATTATCACTGGACTGTTAATCCAGAGACCCAAGTAATGTTCTGGGGACCAGCTTTGAATCCCGCCACAGCAGATGGTGGAATTTGAATTCAGTAAATATCTGGAATTAAGAATCTAATGATGACTGTGAATCCATTGTCAATTGTCAAAAAAACCCATCTAGTTCACTAATGTTTTTTAGGGAAGGAAACTGCTATCCTTACCTGGTCTGGCCTACATGTGATTCCAGACTCACAGCAATGTTGTTGACTCTTAACTGCCCTCTGGGCAATTAGGGATGCGGCAATAAATGCTGACTGGCCAGCGACGCCCTCATCCCATGAATGAATAAAGCAAAGAAAAAGTACAGCCTCTACGTTCTCTAGTGCTGATGCCAGTTCCCCAAAAATCTGAACCAAGGTCTACTGCACCAGCCGTCGAAGCACCCATTCATTTCTCCTATCAGATTAGCACTATGTCAATCTGTACAAAGCTCAGGTAATAATGCAGTGTCTAACTCCCCATCCAGACTATACAGAGCCACTTCCCTAACATGTCATTGGTCCCTACATAGAACTTGACAACTGAATTCTCCTCTTCCACCATAGGTTCCCCTCAAGCCCTGACCAGTGGCACTAGGGCACCGAGCATGCACCATCACCTTCTGCACTCTGCTGCAGAGGATAGTTTCAATTACCCTCACCATACTGTCCCCTAGCAGAACTACATTCCTTTTCTCCCAAACTGAGTATCAGTGAGTACTTGATTGCTCAGGAAGCTCTGCTTGATAGCATTGTCAATGCCACCTTCCATAATTTTGCTGAGATTGACAATGTACTGTTGAGGCAGCATTGAGCTGGGTTGTTCTGCGTTAGGTGTAAAGGACATACCTGGGCAATTTTCCACATTGCCTGGTAAGTATTAGTGTTTGCCACTTGCTTATCATATCTGTAACCTCTGTAGACTTTCCACCTCCTCTTGACATTTGCTTACTTTCCTACCTACATTTATACAATTGGCAAATTTAGCTCAATATCATTGATAAATATTATAAATAGTTGAGCCCCCTGCACTGATCACTGTGGCACTTCACCAGTTACAGCTTGCTAATCCAAAAATGATTTGTAGCTCGGTTCCAGGCTTGTGGGTTGTTGATGGGTGGTTTGTACTTCACACTGCGTGAGGCATCCATGTAGGAAGTAGAGTTGTTTGCGGGTTGCGCTCTCTCATTTGGCGTAGTTTTCCCATTTTCTTGCCAATTTGAGCGTGTTACGCCCGTAGGTCTCTAAGGTTTTGGAGTACAAATCTACTTCAAAACCTTAGACAAAAATGATCTATTTGTCCCTACTCTCCATTTCCTGTTCGCTAACCAATTCTCTATCCATGCTAATACATTACTCCTTAGATCATCAGCTCTTATTCTGGTGTGTCATCTCATCAAATATCATTTAGAAAGCCGAGCATGCCACAATTACAGATTCCCCTTTATCTACCTTTCTTTATGTACTCCCTCAAAGAACTCTAACAAATTAGTCAAATACTATATCCTGTTCACAAAACCATATTGACCCTGCTGATTGTATTATCATTTTCTAAATGTCCTGCTATAATCTCCTTCGAAAGGATTTGAGTTTTTTTAATATGATAGACATGAAACTAATTAATCTGTGAATTCCTGCTTTTGATCTGTCTCCTTTCATGAATAGGGTTGCCACATTTGCCGTTTTCCAACCTGCTGGGACCTTTTCAGAACCCATGGAATTTTGGAAGATTATAATCAATGCATTTACTATCTCTGCAGTCACTTCTTTTAAAACTCTAGGAAGCAAGCCATTTGGTCCAGGGGACTTGGCAATCTTAAGTTCTCATAGCTTTCCCTCTGTGTTAGGATTGTTTTAGGTACCTCCTATGCTTTATCTCTTGAATTTCAAATACTTTGTGAGATCTTTTCCTGTCTTAGAGCATAGAGTTGTACAGCATAGGAATGGGTCGTTCGGACTACGATGTTGCGCTGAACATGACGCCAAATGAAACTAATCCCTTCTGCCTGCTCTTGGTCCATATCCCTCCATTCCTTGCATATTCATGTGCTTATATAAAAGTCCCTTAAATGCCCTTATCATAGCTGCCTCCACCACCATCCCTTGCAGTGCGTTCCAGACTCCCACCACCCTCTGTGTAAAAAATTTGCCCCTCACATCTTCTTTGAACTTTCCCCCCTCACCTTAAATACATGCCCCCTAGTATTAGACATTTCGACTCTAGGACAAAGATTCTGACCATCAACCCTATCTATGCATCTCATAATTTTATAGACTTCTTTCAAGTCTCCCCTCAGCCTCCGCCGTTCCAGAGAAAACAGCCCAAGTTTTTGTAGCCTCTCCTTAAAGTTTATACACTCTAATCCTGGCAGCATCCTGGTAAACCTCTTCTGCACCCTCTCCAAAACCTTCACATCCTTTCTGTAATGTGGTGACCAGAATTGAATGCAGTACTCTAAATATGGCCTAACTAAAGTCTTATAAAGCTGCAACATGACATCCTGACTCTTGTCCTCAATTCCCCAACCAGTAAAGGCAAGCATGCCATATGCCTTCTTTACTGCCTTATCTACTTCAGTGCCCACTTACAGGGAGCTACGGACTTGAACCCTGAGATCCCTGTGTATGTCAATACTATTCAGGGTCCCGCCATTAACTGTTTTCCTTAACATTTGATCTCCCAAAGTGTAGCACCTCACAATTACCTGGATTAAACTCCATCTGCCATTTCTCTGCCCATATCTGCAACTGATCTATATCCCACAGTATCCCTTGACAACCTTCTACACTATCCACAACTCCACCAATCTTTGTTATAAGATAACAAGGTGTGGAGCTGGAGGAACACAGCAGACCAGGCAGCATCAGAGGAGCAGGAAAGCTGATGTTTCGGGTCTAGAC